AAACCATAACGATCATAACAGTCATCCACTCTGGCACGCCTGTGGGGAGCTGACCACAAGATGTTTTATATACTTTAGCTCGTTTTATGAATTATGTTCAGGAATGAGCCTAAGGGAAACAGTGAAGAACAAGAGATGCGAAAACTACACAACTAGAAAGTGGCCAAGTCAGGACCCAAGTCCAGATCTGCCTGACTCCGAAGTCCCTGGAGTCAGCCCACTATGCTAGCCCGAGTCCCCGTCTACTTCCCACATCACTGCTGCTCACATTTCCCCACCACAATTGCAGAGACTGGCGGAGAAGCCTAGCAACACTATCCCGGAGCATCTGACCTGGCGGTCCAGCTCCTGGTTAGGACACTCCCATCCCACACCAGAGTGCCTGGATCTGAGTTCTGGCTCTGCTCCCGATTCCGAGAGCAGCAGGTGATGGCTCAGACAGTTGGGTCCCTGCACTCACACGGGAGACCTAGACTGAGTTCCAAATCCCTGGTTTCCACCCAACCCAGTCCCAGCTGTTGCAGGCATTTGGAGGAATGAACCAATGGGTAACAGCTCATTCATTTTTTCTCTTCCTCTTTTCTCTGTTTCTGCCTTTCAAATAAATTAATTAAATTTTCAAAAAAAAAAAAAAAACTCACAATACCAGTACCCTAGGTCATGTTCACACACAGCAAAGCTCCATGGGCTGCTCTCCGGGAAGCCTGAGGGAAGGACACTCAACCAGAGCAGGGCTATTCCCACAATCCAATGTGCCAATCAGTTTCCTCCACGCTACAACTAGCCAGTCTGAAACATAACGGAGAGCAAACTGCACGGGCAAGAACAGCTGAACATCCCCCGGAATAAGCCTAAGAAATGTTTGTCGAGCCTTCTTGAAAACATTTATAGAGCTTTCGAGGAAGACCGTATAAAGAATAAAGAGGAAAACAACTCATGTTCTGAGGTGGGATGGCTCTCAGTATTGTAAATATACTCATTCTCTCCAATTCATTACATTTAAAGCAATTTGAGCTACATGTATCGCATTATTATGATGTTAGCCTAGAAATGGGCATATAAGTCAACTCTAATGTCCAATTAACAATGAGGGAAATTAGACTATGGTAACAGTGGCATTTTAAATTACTGTAAAAGAACTATTTAATAAGTAGTATGAAGCTGGTGCCACAGCTCACTAGGCTAATCCTCCGCCTTGCGGCGCCAGCACACCAGGTTCTAGTCCCAGTCGGGGCGCTGGATTCTGTCCTGGTTGCCCCTCTTCCAGGCCTGATCTCTGCTGTGGCCCGGGAGTGCAGTGGAGGATGGCCCAAGTGCTTGGGCCCTGCACCCCATGGGAGACCAGGATAAGTACCTGGCTCCTGCCTTCGGCGGCCATTGGAGGGTGAACCAATGGCAAAGGAAGACCTTTCTCTCTGTCTCTCTCTCTCTCTCACTGTCCACTCTGCCTGTCAAAAAAAAAAAAAAAAAAGTAGTATGAGATACCTGGCTGTCCATTTGGAAGACACAAATCCCGGGGCCGGCGCTGTGGTGCAGCGGGGTAACACCCTAGCCTAAGCGCCAGCATCCCATATGAGAGCCGGTTTGAGACCCGGATGCTCCTCTTCTGATCCAGCTCTCTGCTATGGCCTGGGAAGGCAGTGGAAGACGGCCCAAGTCCTTGGGCCCCTGCACCCATGTAGGGGACCCGGAAGAAGCTCCTGGCTCCTGGCTTCAAATCAGCGCAGCTCTGGCCGTTGCAGCCAGTTGGGGAGTGAACCAGCAGATGGAAGACCTCTCTCTCTCTCTCTCTCTTTCTCTCTGCCTCTCCTTTCTCTGTGTAACTCTGACTTTCAAATAAATGAATAAACCTTTGGAAAAAAAAAAAAAAAAGGACACAAATTTCTACCTCACAAGAGACCCAAAAACAAATGTCTAAGTGGATTAAAGACTCAGGTGTTAAAATAAGCAAATAAAAGTTACAGAAGAAAAATAAGGCATGCATTTTTTAATTTTTACTTATTTATTTTATTGATTTGACAGGGAGAGACAGGCAGAGAGGTTTCCTATCCACTGGTTCACTTGCAAATGCCCACACGAGCCGGAGCTGGCCAGGAGCTTGAAACTCAGTCCAGGGCGCCCACATGAAGGCGGGGTCCGATATCTGAGCCATCTCCTGCTGCCTCCCAGGGTTCACACTAGCAGGAAGCTGGATCGGAAGCAGTGTAGCCATGACTTAAGCCAGCACTCTGAAATGAGATGCAAATCATCACAAGAGTGTTTTAAGCACAGGCCAAATGCCCACGGCAAGGGAAGAATTTTTATGCAGGGATAGGGAACGAAGCCTTGCCCAGTGTGACACTAAGGTCCAACAACATAAGGAAAAACACTGACATGTTTGACGGTCAGAAGCAAAATTGTCTGCAAAAGAGTAAACACCTGAAAGAAAAAGGGAACTCAAATGACAAATAAACTTCAGAGGAAATTACTTGAATTAAATATGACAAAGAAAACAGTACATTAACAATTTAAAAAAAAATTTAAAGCAGACAAGAAAAATATGGATATATCCATTAATGTCAAATGTCATTAAATCCTGGGCTGGGGCTGTGGTAAAGTGGGTAAAGCTGCTGCCTGCAACACTGGCTCCCATATGGGCACCAGTTCAAGTCCTGGCTGCTCCACCTCTGATCCAGCTCCCTGCTAATGCACCTGGGAAAGCAGCAGAACATGATCCAATTGCTTGGGCCCCTGCACTGACATGGGAGACCCAGATGAATCTCCTGGCTCCTGGCTCTGGCCTGGCCCAGTCCTGGCCATTGTAGCCATCTAGGGAGTAAGCAGGCAGATGGAAGACCTCTCTATCTCTCCCCCTCTCTGGAATTCTGCCTTTCAAACAAAATAAAATAAACATTTTTTAAAAAAATGTAATTAAATCCATAAAAAAGAAAGGACAAATATAAATTAGGTTATTACAATAGTTATGTTTATGGAATGGTAAAAACAGGCATTTGTCATTGCATTGTTTGAATTTAGACAGTGGTCACACACTATAAGGAAAAATCTATAAGAATATTTTCATTTTGAAGAATTCCAATAAGTCTAAAAGCAAGCATTTAGAGGAGAACTTCAACATTTAATAAGAAGCAGCATGCTGGGGGCAGGAGTTGGGCTTCGCTGTTGAAAACACTTGTGTCAGGGCCAGTGCTGTGGCACAGTAAGTTAAACCTCCGCCTGTGGCGCCAGCATCCCATATGGCCGCCCGTTCTAGTCCCAGCTGCTCCACTTCCGATCCAGCTTTCTGTTAATGCAACTGGGAAAGCACTGCACCCGCATGGGAGACCTGGAGGAAGCTCCTGGCTCCTGGCTTCAGATCAGCCCAGCTCCAGCCATTGTGGCCATTTGGGGAGTGAGCCAGCAGATGAAACACCTCTCTTTCTCTCTCTCTCTCTCTCTCTCTCTCTCTCTCTGTAACTCTACCTCTCAAATAAATAAATTCTTTGAATAAAAAGCAAACAAACACACAGGTCCCCAGGAACAGTTGATGGCTCAAGTACTTGGGCCCCGGCCACCCAGGAGTTCCCAGCTCCTGGCCAGGCCTTGCCTGTTAAGAGCATTTGAAGAGTGAATCAACAGATGGAATAGTGAGCTCTACATCTCTCTCTCTAAATAAGAATGAAAATAAATTTGTGAATGTTTTAAAGGCTTGGCAGTGACTGCAGTGCCAATAGTTGAGCAGGGAAAAGAAAAAGGGCTTAGAAGAAAGCCAGACTCCTGGTAGAAGCTCTTGCACTGCTGTAGCCTGAAGATGTGGATGTGCCAAGTGAACCCAACACACCTGCTGCCCAGACTCATTTACTATCGCGTGCCCCAGACAGGGACGTCTCACACACACCTCTCCACCTAGTGGACGCTTGCGGTCATTGCTGCAGCCCGCGCGCCCTTCACCCAGGCACCGCAATGTGGCCACGTTGGTTTGGCTCGCTTTTACTCTAAGCAAGGATACGCCAAGCCTCACCTCCAAATTCCATTCTTTATTTTCCTACATAGAAGTAAAGTGACGAGTGCTTTGTCTTCTGTCACCGTGCCTGTAACAAACACTAGCTCAGAACAGGTTAAGGCACACTGATTGGGGCTGGGGCTGGCGAGTAAAGCTAAAACCTGCAGTGCAGCATCCCATATGGGCACCGGTTCAAGTCCTGGCTGCTCCACTTCCTATCCAGCTCTCTGCTGTGGCCTGGGAAAGCAGTGGAAGATGGCCCAAGTCCTTGGGCCCCTGCACCCACGTGGGAGACCTGAAGAAGTTCCTGGCTCCTGGCTTTGGATGGGCCCAGCTCTGGCCATTGTGGCCACTTGGGGAGTGACCCAGCAAATGGAAAACCTCTCTCTGCCTCTGCCTCTCAAATAAATAAATCTTAAAAAAAAAAAAAAAAAGACACACTGATTCAAAAGCCCCTTTAGGAGGGACAACAAGGCGTTTCTCCCAGGAGATAGCCCAGCCCAGTCATGCCGCTGGCTGGTCAAAGTAAACGGAACTGACCACCTGCCTGCACCTGCTGCTAGGCACCCCGGGCCCTCAGTGAGCTGTCCTTTAAGGTCATCCCACTGGGAGAAAGAAAGACATACTCATGAATACTACTACTCACAACAGAACTGCCTCGGAAAGTTTCAGTTACAGTGAAGGCCCGGAGTAAAAGGCGACGCCTACCCTTCCAGGTTTCTCCAGAGACCCCGCCCCCGGCGTCAATCAGCCAGAGACGGCCCCGCCTCTCCCCTGCCAATCAACCGCTTCCCGCGCCTGCGCACACACCGCCTCCCCGGAGCCCCGCCCCGAGGCCTGGGCGGGCGGTTAGGTCCGGTACGCTTCTCCCCTCCACTGGCCATCCGCTATGACGATCACCTACAGCTGCATTGCTAATGGCCGAACGGTGCTAGCGGAGCTGGCCCTGACTGGCGGCTCCTATCAGGTACCTCCAGGCCGCGCCTCCGCCCCCGCAGGCTCCGCCCCTCGAGCCCGGCGCCCTCCGGGCCCAGCCCCCGAGACGCGGTGCTGTGGGGTGGCCCAGAACCTGAGGTGGGGACGCGAGGCCCCGCCCCGCGACAGGCCCCGCCCCCGCGACGGGCCTTAAGTCCCCGGCTGAAGCCGCACGAGCGCCACCCAGAGGTTAGGATTGGTGCCGCACGTGTCCTGTTTGGGTGTGAATTATAAGCACGTCCAACGTTTGAAGATTTTCCGCCTCCGCGCAGAAGTGGCCTGTAGCAGAAGTGGCCATGTTTAACAGTATACACCTGTTAAACATGTCTTAGTTGCAAAATGCTAGAGTATAGAATGTGAGGGATGCGGCAGTGAAGACGAGCCTGATGTTGTCTTTTCTGTCCTACAGTTGTCCTAGGGTGTAAAGAGTATTTCAGTGGCGGAAGACTGGTAAGGAGCCTGGCTATAAATTGTATAAGAAGTACTCCTCGCCTGGCCCGGGAAAGGAGAAATAGAACTTCTTACAAAGGCAACAGGATGGTGTGTTTGGGGATTGCCTCAGTGAGGCCAGAGCACAGAGGAGGCCAAAAAAGTGGGCAGGGAATAGTTGAAGCATCCTGTATACAGTTGTTTAACAGAGAAGCTAGGGACCGTTACAGATTCGTAAGTATGCAGAGGCTCGATCTGAAGGAACGTCTGGAAAATTAGGCCCAGTTACAAAATGGAAGGTGGATTCGAATGAAGACAGAGATGGGATGGCCATTAGAGTGTGTAGTAAAATCTCTAAGGGCCAGGCCTAAGGCAGTGATGGTGCAGAAGCAAAGGAATGGGTCAGAACCTGAAGAGACTTGGTAAGAGGAGCCCTTAGGAGTTGGTCTCTGGCTGAAAATGTAGAATACTGGGCGAGGTCACGGGTAGGATGAGTCTCAAGATTCTCCTTAGGCAGCGTGAAGCAACACATAGGATATAGAAGCAGCACTGGGGCAGGGACTCGGGGTGCCGGTGAGAAGAGTGGTTTGGGACTTTCTGAATTTCATTGCATGTTGGAAATGGCCAATCGATTTGTGTGTTTATTTCCTACCTTATTTCCAAAAGGTTTTAAAATCAGAAGAACATGCGATAGGTAAGAAATATGTTGGTCTCACTTCACTTAGCAAGGTTCAGGAGATCATCTCTTCATAAGATCTAGAGGCATAAAGGTAGTGTCTGAGGCAGGGTTTAATTGGATATTTATAGGGGGCAGCTCTGGGATGAGGTTGGAGTGCTGCCCATTTCCTAGTCCTGTTTTAGAAATCTCAGATACTCATGGCATCAGGTGCATGATGGGAGTTGGAGTGTCAGGGTAATTTTATTATAATGACATTATGCTGAGCTAACGGTCATTGCCAGGAAGCAGCCAGCAGCCATGTTGTTTCATTTTTGGCTGGGCTCAGGTCTAAGCAGTGTTTCGGGAAAGCTGCAGTTTTCCACTGCACATAGAGTACTACCTCCCTCCTTGCCTGTGCTGGAGTCAGAACTGATGATTGAGAATAGCAAAAAGGGGCTGGTGCTGTGGTGCAGCGGGTTAACACCTGGCCTGAAGCGCCGGCATCCTCTATGGGCGCCGGTTCCGGTCCTGGCTGCTCCTCTTCTGATCCAGCTCTATGCTATGGCCTAGGATAGCAGTAGAGGATGGGCCAAGTCCTTGGGCCCCTACACCCACATGGGAGACCCAGAGGAAGCTCCTGGCTCCTGGCTTCGGATTGGCGCAGCTCCGGCTGTTGCGGCCATATGGAGAGTGAACCAGCAGATGGAAGACCTCTGTCTCTCTGCCTCTGCCTCTCTGTAACTCTGCCTTTCAAATACATAAATAAATCTTGAGAGAGAGAGAGAGAGAATAGCAGAAATGGGTAAGAGCACCTAGGAAACAAACAGGGTGAAAAGCAGGAGGACCAAAAGGCAGAGAGAGAGGTGGGTCACCACATGGGAGCAGTGGTATCCTAAAAGCAGAGAGAAGAAGTTCCAAGAAGGTCTCAGGTCCCCGAGTAAGTCGGGCAAGAACTGAAGGGTGTTCACCGGACTCGGCAGTGGGAAAAAGATGGGGGTGGGAACGTGAGCAGTCTGGGAGAAGTGACAGAGGCAGAAGCCAGATTGCTTTCGGCCAAGGCAGTGGGAGATGAGGAAGTCTGGCGAGTGGGATGAGACAGTTCTTTCAAAATGTAGTAAGGGGCTGAGATGGGGTGAAACCAGAGAAACACGGTCCATCTTTTCACTATAGGAAAAACGTTCCCATGTTATGTTAGGCTAACGGGAAGAAGTTGGAGATGCAGGAGAGCAAGGGCTATTAGTGGATCAAGACCTGAGGGTGCACCAAGGGCTGAGACAAAGTGAGGCAGCAGGGCGTGAGCCTGCCTGAAGAACGCCCTCTCTCTCTGGGACAGGAGGCAGTGTGGCTGTCCAGGTAACAGGGGGCCCTCTCCTTCCTTAGCCCTTCACACGCTGTGTTCCCTGGGGTCTACTCACCATCCTCTGTTACCTTGGCACGATACTCACGCCCCCGGGCGCCTTCCCCCGATCACTGCCAAATCCGCTTCCCAAGTTCCCTGTCCCCAGAGCTAGGCTGCCTAGTAGGTCAGACATAGCGTAAATTACTTCTCTTTCCCTCTGTGCATTTCTCGTCTTGCCGAGTCATTCTACAGAGCCCTTCAAGCCAGGAGCCAGGAGCCACCCTCGACTTTGCCTGCTTCTTTATCTGAGCATCTGTCCATTCGTCACTCAGTTCTGTCTCCTCAGAGCACCTTGGATCTGTCTACCTGTTTCTAAACCATATGTCCATCCAGGCTCTCACTGATTACTTCTTATCAAGAGCTACTGAAAATATCTCCCCACTAATCTCTTGGTGTTTGACCTGTCCTCAAAACCCACCTCCACACCGCTGCTCAAGAGCAACTCCGATCGGATCACTCGGCTGATGAAGATCAGGTGGTGACGCCTGCGCACATTCAGAATACAGCCCATACTCCTTCACCAGGCATCCAAGGCTTCCCTCCCCCGGCCCCCCGCCATCGCACCCTCCACCCCTGCAAGGGCTTTTCCATGATTATCTCCTTACCTTCCCCACACCCCCTGTCCTCTGGCTATGCTGAAGTCCACGCCACTCTCCAATCTCACCAAGGACTCCCTGCTGTTCCTTCTGCCAGGAAACCACTTTTCCCTGCTTTGGGGCAGTATAACTTCTGTACTCTGACCTCCCTCAGTTTCTTCTAGAAGGCTTCTCTATGCCCTGGCTACCTTACATCTCAGACCAACTACTTACTGAGCTGATGTGGAGTCTCCTTGTGCTTCCATATCTCCAGCACTGAACTTCAGAGCAGGGTCTTCTTCATCTGTCTTCCCAGTGCAGTGCCTAGGACCTGGTAGTTGTCACTAAGCATTTGTTTAGCTGGTTAATTAAGGGAGGAGAGAGAGAGCTGAAGACTTTCATAAGCTTAAGTGGCCCTTCTTAATGGAAAGAGAGGTGGGGCTGGTGCTATGGTGTAGCGGGTAAAGCCGCCACCTGCAGTGCTGGCATCCCATGTGGGCGCCGGTTTGAGTCCCGGCTTTTCCATTTCTGCTCCAGCTCTCTGCTATGGCCTGGGAAAGCAATGGAAAATGGCCCAAATCCTTGGGCCCTGCACCCGCGTGGGGGACCCAGAAGAAGCTCCTGGCTTCAGATCAGCTCAGCTCCAGCCATTGCGGCCAATTGGGGAGTGAACCATCAGATGGAAGACCTCTGTCTTTCTCTCTCTCTCCCGTCCTCTCCCTCTCCCCCCGCCCCCTCTCTGCTTCTCCTCTCTGTAACTCTGGATTTCAAATAAATAAAAAGATCTTTAAAAGAAAAGAGAGGTAAGAAGCAGAGGAGGGTGGAGCAGTATACAGTTGGGGGAAAGGGGGAAAGGTGTGAAGAGCTTGAAATGACTATTGTGCAAAAGGCTGGCCAGGGAGAAGATGGGTAAAAGAAGCTTAAAGGGGCAATTCAGATCGGAAGGAAAGAGCGAGCCACACCTTCCCTCCATGCCAAGGATTAGCGCCTCAAAATTTGAATATTCACTTGAAGATACCAAAGCTTAATCATGAGGTTCCATCTGCTACTATGACAGGGTCTGGAGCTGGTCAGATCCTAGGGAGCACGCCCAGTCTCTTGGTCCTCCCCGCAAGGAAACAGACCAGACACGTCCCTGCTTTGGCTATGCAGCACATGAATTCCAGAGTGACTGTCCCTCATTCTGTTCCTCTTGTTGCCATTGGCTTTGTTTCACATTTTGCCATGACATCATCATTTACATGCCCTAAGAGATGCTTGGGGCAAGCTACCACAAGGTGTTCCAGGAGCCTCTAGAGCAATTGAAAGTTTGTAGATCCCTTTAGTAGCTCAAGTTTCCTAGGAAATCCTTGCCTGGAAAATGTTCACACCACCTTGCTTTTTCATGCAAAACCGAGTTTCAGGCTTTCCTTTCTACCACTCATAGTAGGCGTTGCCCTTCCATAAAAGTTTTGGTATCGAGGGTCATTTTGTACTCTGTACGTGGTACTTTCTTAAAAGCTAGCTGCAATGTGAACCTGAAACCATGTCAGTGAACTGTTCACCTCTGTAACATTAAAATCCACTGGTCTGGGAGGCAGCAGCTGATGAGTTAGGTACTCGGGTCCTGCCCTCCATGGAAGACCCAGACTGAGCTGAGCTCCTCGCTTCCGCCTGGCCCAGCCCTGACTATTGCAACTGTCTGGGGAATGTACTGGCAGATGAAATCTATCTTTCTATCTCTTTGTCTCTCTCTCTCTGTCTGCTTCAAGTAAAAAATGAAAATAAATTTTTAAAATTTAAATTAAAAAGAGATCACTTTTCAGCTAAATTCTGTTAAATATAAGAGTGGGAATAAGAGAGGGAGGAGAGGTACAATTTGGGACATGCTCAATCGGACTTGCCCCAAATGGTAAAGTTAGAAACGTGCCAGGGATTCCAATACAATCCCATCAAGGTGGCATGTACCAATGCCATCTCACTAGTCCAAGTGATCAATTTCAGTTCACAATTGATCACACTGATAGGTCTAAGAGTCAAAGAGATCACATAAACAAGACTTGTGTCTGCTAATACTAACTGATATAATTAAAAGGGAGAGAACGATCCAACATGGGAAGCGGGATCACAGCAGACTCATAGAATGGCAGATGTCCTAAACAACACTCTGGCCTCAGAATCAGCCCTTAAGGCAGCCAGATCTGGCTGAAGAGCCCATGACAGTATTTCAGGCATGGAAAGCCAAGACACTCTGGAAAAAAAAAAAAAAAAAAAGAGGACCTAAATGAAAGATCTCTGCAAGTGAGACCCCAGTGGAAAGAACGGGCCATCAAAGAAGGAGGTACCTTTCTCTGAAGGGAGGAGAGAACTTCCACTTTGACTACGACCTTGCCTAAATAAGATCCAAGTTGGCGAACTCAAAAGGCTTCCATAGCCTTGGCAACTCATGACAACAGCCTAGGGTGATTACTGACGCTATAAACAAGAATGTCAATTTGTTAAGTCAACAACAGGAGTCACTGTGTACTTACTCCTCATGTAGGATCTCTGTCCTTAATGTGTTGTTCAATGTGAATTAATGCTATAACTAGTACTCAAACAGTATTTTACACTTTATGTTCTGTGTGGGTGCAAACTGTTGAAATCTTTACTTAATATATGCTAAATCAATCTTCTGTACATAAAGAGAATTGAAAATGAATCTTGATGTGAATGGAATGGGAGAGGGAGCGGGAGATGGGAGGGGTGCGAGTGGGAGGGAAGTTATGGGGGGGGCATTGTAATCCATAAACTGTGCTTTGGAAATTTATATTTATTAAATAAAAGTTAAAAATTTTTTAATTAAAAAAAGAAAAATCAATAATGAAAAGTTTTTAAAGTATCATTTTGTGAGGGAGGAAAACTGAATTAGAAGTGTGGCTATTCAGGGCTTCTTAGATAACTTTCAGATTCCTTTCATGCTTCTAGAGTAAATTAACGGGATTCCATACAGTTGACCATACTTCAGGTAACTGTGGTGTCTTCCAAATTTTCCCCAAAGAATGAGCCAGATAAGAAACAAATGTGGGGCCAGTACTGTGACACAGTAGATAAAACCACCACCTGCGGTTTCAGCATCCCATATGGACGCTGGTTCAAGTCCCAGCTGCTCCACTTCTGATCCAGCTGTCTGCTAATGCACCTGAGAAAGCAGCGGAAGATCACCCAAGTGCTTAGGCCTCTGCACCCACATGGGAGACTCAGAAGAAGCTCCTGGCTTCTGGCTTTGGCCTGGCCCAGACCTGACTATTGCAGCTATTTGGGGAGTGGACCAACAGATGGAAGATCTCTCTCTCTCTCTCTCTCTCTCTCTCTCTCTCTCTCTGCCTCTGTCTCTGCTTCTCTGTAACTCTGACTTTCAAATAAATATAAAAATAAAAAAGGACACAGATGTGAGAGAGCTTATGAGTTATTTGTTTTTAAAAGAGATCAGTGAACAATAGCATATACAAAATTTTCTCTTAAAGAAGATTGCTCAGGGTATTGGGAGAATAAGAGCTGAGTATCTTTAATTCCTTAACCTTTTATTTCTAGTTTCAGTGCTAATAGTCACTGAAAAGATGTTAGATTGGACAGTGCTTCCAGCCTTGAAACCATTTAAAGGTGCAACTGTAAAAATGAGATTGTCCAGCACAGCTTACATTTTTATACTGTTTATGTATGTAGTCTCTGTATGTTTATGTGGCTTTAATATTTTCTTCAGAGTCATCAGAGTATTTCATGATCACTTGCCTCTTACCATGTATTATGAGTCTCCACCCATTTTTGTCTCCGAGTAGAGTTTCTCCCTGATGAATTAATCAGAACGTTGGTAAACTCGGGAGGGGAACGGGAAGACACAACAACCTCCTACGAAGTAAACGCTGACCGTTTATTTTTAGGAAGCCACCGCGAAAGTGCTCAGGCTAGTGCTGCTTAGAGCTGAGCCGAGGACCATCATGCAGATGGGAAGGTAAGGTGTGTCCTGGCGCGAGTCTGTGTCTGTCTGGACAGCTATGGATAGTGATTCCAACGAGGGCGGGAGGGGGAAGTCCTAGTTGTACCTATTCTTGACTGAGCCCTCAGAAAGGAGAACTTCCATATGAAAAAGTAGAAAATCATGAATAGCACTATGATTAACACTAAACAGAGCGAAACAAAGGGAGAACATGTCGGGAACATTAACCGTAACCTTTTAACTGGGTACTGGCTCTGAAAATGTTCTTTTATTCTCCATGCTTTTTTGATATACACAAAACATTTCATTAATACAAGGGAAAAGGGAAACTCCTGCTTGAAAAGATGGCTGAACTAGTAGTTTCCTTGGAACATTACGTGCTCTGGACCAAACCACTCTAAAACTTCTGCTCATAAAGGAACAGATGGAGGAAGAGAGAGCATCTGCTATTTTTAGGTTCTTCATTGTTTTAAGGAATCTGTTTTAATCTACAAGTAACCGCAGTTACAAAAAAAAAAAAAAAAAAAAACACACACACACATTCATCAAATGGATGTCTAGCTTTGTCAAGTATTATCAGGAACATCCCCCAGCAGCAACCACCATCTAGGCCAAAAACTGCCGCCTTCCGGCCACCTCAAAACTTCCCCACCACGTGCTCTGTGCCACTCACTGCCTCCGTCACCCTCCCCATGATAAGCACCACGCCAGCTTCTATAGTAGTCACACTTCCCCATTTCTTCATTGTCTCAGCACCCAAATACACATCCTCAAATGACGGCCCAATCATGCTAAGTCTCTTTCCATCTATATTTTCTCCTTCTATCCCTTCCCTTAGAATTTATTATGAAGAATCTGTAAGGTTTCCCACACTTCTAGGTTTGTTGACTCATACTCGAAATGCAGTTTGCATATTGGATCCAGAGACCCATTCCCTCCGGGAAAGTTATGGGGCATTTTTCATCAGCTGGCACATACTATTCCATCTCTTTTGGAGGTGGAATTACAAAATAGTGACTGTCTAGTTTTGTTTTCACTGAAACAATTTCACAAATAGACACTTGCTTCATTTGCTATTCGCTCACCCTAACTGTACGTTCCAATGCAAGTCTCTGAAGATCTCTTGCCTGAAATGCTGACTCATAACTACCCAGTCCACATCTCTGCTCGGATGTCTAATAAGTACCTCAAACTTATCTCCAAAGTCACCCACCTCCCACAGTCTCCCACACATCACCTGTCCAGGTCCTCAGGCCTAAAAACCTTTGTTTTGTGTCTGTTACATCCAAGTTCATTCCATCAGCAAATCTCATTACCTTTCCCTTTCAATAGCAACCAAGCCACCATCATCTCCTGCCTTGGTTACTCATTACAAAGTCATTTTCCTCATTTTGTTTTTGATGGTTTTAACAATTATTTGAAAGACAGAGTTATAGAAAGAGAGATAGGGAGAGGCAGAAACAGAGATCTTCCATCCACCGGTTTACTCCCCAAATGGCCAACAGTTCACTCCCCAAATGGCCACAATGGCCAGAGCTGGGCAGATCCAAAGCTAGGTGCCACAAGCTTCATCTGGGTCTGCCACATGGGTGCAGGGTCCCAAAGACTTGGGCTATCCTCCACTACCTTCCCAGGCACATTAGCAGAGATCTGGATCAGAAGTGGAGCAGCCAGGACTCGAACCAGAGCCCACATGGGATGCCAGTGCCACTAGAGGCAGCTTTACCTGCTAAGCCACAGCACCAGTTCTTTTTAAAAGCTTGACTTAGGCCGGTGCCATGGCTCAATAGGCTAATCCTCTGCCTTGCGGCGCCAGATTCTGTCCTGGTTGCCCCTCTTCCAGACCAGCTCTCTGCTGTGGCCAGCGAGTGCAGTGGAGGATGGCCCAGGTCCTTGGGCCCTGCACCCCATGGGAGACCAGGAGAAGTACCTGGCTCCTGCCATCGGATCAGCGCGATGCGCCAGCCGCAGCGGCCATTGGAAGGTGAACCAACGTCAAAGGAAGACCTTTCTCTCTGTCTCTCTCTCTCTCACTGTCCACTCTGTCAAAAATAAAAATTAAAAAAAAATTTTAAAAAAAGCTTGACTTAATAATATCTTGCAATCATGCAAAAACATTTATATGGTTCCAAAGTCAAATCTACAAAATAAGAACCTTGAGAAGTCTAATTTAGATTCCTTTTCTCTCTACAATGCTCTATTTCTTCCCTTACAAGATAACTATTTTGAAAAAGGCTTTGATTTACCATTTTTTCCTTAAGAAACACATTCTAGGGATGGACATTTGGCACAGTAGTTAAGATGCCACTTGGAGATATTTTCTTTTTCTGGTCCCAGGCACTTCAGCAACTGCAGGTTACAATGCAGACATGGCCAAACCCAAGAACCATATCACACACAACCAGTCCTGAAAATGACACAGAAATTGCATTAAGAAACCCACAATCACAAAAATATGAATCTCTTTTTTTTTTTTTTTGACAGGCAGAGTGGACAGTGAGAGACAGAGACAGAGAGAAAGGTCTTCCTTTGCCGTTGGTTCACCCTCCAATGGCCGCTGCGGCCGGCACACCGCACTGATCCGATGGCAGGAGCCAGGAGCCAGGTGCTTTTCCTGGTCTCCCATGGGGTGCAGGGCCCAAGCACCTGGGCCATCCTCCACTGCACTCCCTGGCCACAGCAGAGGGCTGGCCTGGAAGAGGGGCAACCGGGACAGAATCCGGCGCCCCGACTGGGACTAGAACCCAGTGTGCCGGCGCCGCTAGGCGGAGGATTAGCCTAGTGAGCCGTGGCGCCGGCCAAAAATATGAATCTCTTAAAGGGCTGCATCCCAATTTCCTGAGGAACATGTGTTTTGCCAAGAAGCACAACAAGAACCTGAAGAAGATACAGGCCAGTAGTAACACCAGGGCTCTGGGTGCACCTGCTGAAGCCATCAAGGCCCTTGTCAAGCCTAAGGAAGTTAAGCCCACAATCCCTAAGAGTGTCAGCAACAAATTCAATCAACTCACCTACATCACCTATCCCAAGCTTTGAAAGTGTGCTCATGCCCACATTGCCAAGGGTCTTAGGCTGTCCCAGCCAAAAAACAAGGCAAAGGCCAAGACCAACCCTCAAATCAAGGGCAAGGCCAAGGCTCAAATAAAGGCCCAGGACCAGGGTCAAACCAAGGCCAAGGCCCAGCCCCAAACCAAGCCCAAGGCTCAGGCCCAAATCAAGCCCCAGGCCAAGGCTCAGGCCTAAGCTGCACCTGCACATGCACCTGCAGCCACAGTTCCGGCTCAGGCTCCTCCCAATGGTACCCAGCCTCCCATGAAGGCTCCATAGCAACAGCATTTGCCTTCCAATACAAGGACAGGAGGACTGGTGTAACCCCTGGGCTGCTGTCTGCATGGAGCTACAGTCCTCCAGTGCTGGGTGCTGTTTGTACAAATAAAAAGAGACAGGGTCTCACACACACACACAAAAAATGCCACATGGGACACATCTCAGAGTGCATAGGTTTGAGTCCCAACTCCACTTCCAATTTCACCTTCCTGTTAATGCGCACCTGGGAGGCAGCAGGTGATAGTGCAAGTACTGGGCTCCCCACCACCCACATGGTAGACCCAGATGTGAGTTTCAGGTGCCTAGCTTTGGCCTGGTCCAGCCCTGGGTGTTTTGGACATTTGGGAAGTGAACCACCAGATGGAAGATAGCTATCCTCCTATTTCTCTCCCTCACACCACTTATAAATGCATTTTAAAATAAATAAATATATTTACATTGAGTTTCAAATACTTAAAAAAGAAAAACCTGGGCTGGCGCCGTGGCTCACTTGGCTAATCCTCCGCCTGCAGCGCTGGCACCCCAGGTTCTAGTCCCGGTCAGGGCGCCGGATTCTGTCCCAATTGCTCCTCCAGTCCAGCTCTCTGCTGTGGCCTGGGAAGGCAGTGGAGGATGGCCCAAGTGCTTGGGCCCTGCACCTGCATGGGAGACCAGTAGGAAGCAACTGGCTTCTGGCTTCGGATCAGCGCAGCGCGCTGGCCGTAGCGGCCATTAGGGGAGTGAACCAATGGAAGGAAGACCTTTCTCTCTGTCTCTCTCTCTCTCACTCACTTTCTAACTCTGCCTGGCAAAAAAAAAGCAATTCTAAAAAAAAAACACGAGAGAGAGAGAGAGAGAGAGAAAAACCCATTATAGAAGAATACATACTAGAGTAGATCTATACATTCATACTTCCTTTTTGGTAGCATATGAGAATGATGACTAACTGATAGTATCTCATGGCTTTCTCTGCCTTGCTTTTGTCAGTTAACCATATACCTGGACACCAGGTATTCACACTTTTTTCAACATTAAGGATGGTTTCTGAATGTTACTCTAATAAACATAAATTTAAAATCTCTCCTTTTCACATCCGGATTCAAGTTACTCCAAAGCATACGTGTAACTTTCAGATGGATGGTAGAATTAGCAAGCTTTTTTTCAGTGAAGACTCCTCCAAATTTAGAAATAGAAATATTTGCCAGGTGGATATTATGTGTATTAATCAATATCATTAAAAATATTTGTAGTGTAATATATTCATATGCTATGAAAGATTTATGTTAAATGTTCTGCCTCTGGGCTTATGTTTTGGTCCTTGTTCCTGAGATTCTAGTGTAGATCCAGTTGAGCATTTGACCAAATCTTTGCCTGGCAACCATTCGGAGACAGTGTGTTCAAAAAGGCCAAAGTCTAGGCACAAAGTAACTATGTTTATTGCCCTGTTCTGACATTCTCTGGATTGTTGGGCATCAAATGAGAGACACTTTCCAATGGTCTCCCAGCCTCCTAATATGAGACTCTAAGAGGACAGAAGAGATCTAGAAGTTAGAGTGGTCAGGATAACGTGCACTCGAGCTTAATCCCCCTCTCCCCAAGTCATCCTGTTCTCCAGAATATTTGGTATTGGCAGGTTACAACTTTTTTAGTTCTAGTTTATCATAATAGAAAACCAAGAAGTGTCAAAATTAAATATGATGGTACTTTTAAGAGTTCATGAAAAAGATTAAAAGTTTATTTTGGTGCAAAACATTTTGAAATTCAGACATAGTTTTTTCATAGGCATTTTCTACGGTCTCTTTGAAGACCCCTTGTGTATCTATGCAAAAATATAAGGGTAAGGGGCCGGCACCTGGCTCACTTGGTTAATCCTCCGCCTGCAGCGCCGGCATCCCATATGGGTGCCGGGTTCTAGTCCCGGTTGCTCCTCTTCCAGTCCAGCTCTCTGCTGTGGCCCGGGAAGGCAGTGGAGGATGGTCCAAGTGCATGGGCCCTGCACCCACATAGGAGACCAGGAGAAGCACCTGGCTCCTGGCTTCAGATCGGCACAGCGCCAGCCGTAGCAGCCATCTGGGGAGTGAACCAGCGGAAGGAAGAATTCTCTCTCTCTCACTCACTGTCTGTAACTCTTCAAATATATATATATAAAGGTAAGAAAAATCAGTGAATGCAGCATGTTATATTTGCTCATACTCTTAGCTCAATCTTGGAATGTGACTGACTTGTCAAAGTCCTCAAAAATTGTATATGTGTATACATATTGTTTATTTTTATTGATGTAGTTTTTTTTTTGTTTGTTTTTTGTTTTTTGGTTTTTTTTTTTTTTGGACAGGCAGAGTGGACAGTGAGAGAGAGAGACAGAGAGAAAGGTCTTCCTTTCGCCATTGGTTCACCCTCTAGTGGCCACCCCAGCTGGCGCGCTGCGGCCGGCATACCATGCTGATCCGATGGCAGGAGCCAGGTACTTCTCCTGGTCTCCCATGGGGTGCAGGGCCCAAGCACTTGGGCAATCCTCCACTGCACTCCCAGGCCACAGCAGAGAGCTGGCCTGGAAGAGGGGCAACCGGGACAGAATCCGGCGCCCTGACCGGGACTAGAACCAGGTGTGCTGGCGCCACAAGGCAGAGTATTAGCCTAGTGAGCTGTGGTGCAGGCCGATTGATGTAGTTTTAAATACACAAATTTTATAGACTTAATTTTTCAAATGTATTAAAGTTCTTCCAAGTATTCTGATTACAAACAGTTATCTATATAGTTTTTTAATATGACTAATGACAGCTTGAAAACTGAAATTAAATTCTCTATGTGGGTATTTAATTTTTTCAATGTTATCATGTAAATAACTGTATTCTTTTCAAAGCTATATCTACCATACTCTCTTTATTGATGGAATCACTTACTTATGTGCTACAGATAATGCGCTGGATACTGTGGCACCATCTGCATTTCTTAAAAAAGTAAGTAATTGTTTACACTGTTGTAAAGAATTTTTCAGTTACTGAAATTATGAGCTCTCTGCTTTTTAATTTATTAGTAATAGTGTCACTAACCAAAAGCAGGTCACTCATGCCCTGTTTATAAAGCAAAGCCATTAATGCCCTTTGGAGATATCTGACCCTCTTCCCTTACCTGTCTCCTGCTTCCATATTGCCTCCATTTCTAAAGCTAGGTCTGAAAAGACTCTGTATTTTGTTTTTAAAAGTAAGAAAAAAAATGAAGCTATACTAACATTTAATATAATCTTTCAATAACACATATATTTACTTTACAAATAATTACATACATGGGGAGGTAAGTGATTAAAACTTTTGCAAGCCTAGCATTGTGGAGCAGTGGGTTGAGCTACCACCTGCAACACCACCATCCCAGATAGAAGCACCGGTTCAAATCCCAGCTGCACCACTTCCTATCCAGCTTCCTGCTAATGCACCTGGGAAAGCAGTAGAAGATGGCCCAAGTTCTTAGACTCCTTCCACCCACATGGGAGACCTGGATGGAGTTCCTAGTTCTGGCTTTGGCCTGACCCAGCCCTGACTATCTCATCCATCTGGGCAGTGAATCAGCAGATGGAAAATTTTTCTCTCTGTCTCTACCTTTCTCTCTGATGCTTTTTCAAATAAATATATTTTTAAATAATTTGCAGCCACTACTCTAAAGACATTTCCATTAGAGTTAAATAAAAAATATATTTAAAAAAAAATCAAGTCATACTATCCCTGGGTAAACTTTGACCAAAGAATTGCCAGCAAATATAAGTCATGGTAAAGAGAGTGTTCCTGGTGTGTATGTGTATGTACCAAGGTAGCTACATGAGTAGCTACATGAATGTATACATTCTTAAAAGGAAATTAACTTCAGTACATACCTCATGTTGCTCAAATCACCGCAAGTTTGATCTCTGCCTACAAGGAGACTTCCTGAAGAGAGTCTTAGAAGTAGACTAATTACTAATTGTTCTGGTAATTTTGTAATCCAGATAGTATGTTTGCTTCTTTAAAAAGTAAACAAGAAGTGACCATTTGGCCTGGCAGTTAAGACACTTGTGTCTCACATGGGAAGACCTGAGTTCAGCTCCCCCCTCTGTTTCCTGACTCCAGCTTCCTGCTAATGCAGACCCTGAGAGGCAGCGGCAATGGCTCCAGTACTGGACTCCTGCTACCCTCAACTGAGTTCCCTGGCTCCAGGCTTTAGACGGTCCCCCACAGTTACAAGCATTTAGGGAATGAACCAGCAGATGGAGCACAGCCTCCCTCCCTGCCTCTCAAAGAAAGTAAATGATACGGATCTTCAATTTTATTCACAGATATGTAATTGAAGTATTTTTAATAAAAATATATTAATAGAAAAGTCAGTCAGCAATACTATAATCACTAATAGCTATTCTCTAGTCATGGCAGCAGGTGATGGCTCAGACGCTTGGGCCCCTGCCACTCACTTGAGAGACCTGGATTACGTTTCAGGCTGCTGGCTTCAGCCTGGCCCGGTCCTGGCTGTTGCAGGGAAGTGACCCAGCAGACGGAAGATCTCTCCCTCTCTCTCTTTCAAATAACATGAAAATAAACAGTCAGCTTTAACAAAGCTCAAACTGAACGCACATACAGAGATTATAAAACCCAAATATTGTAATTTATTGTACAGTTATTCCTAGAAAATTGCTCCAGTCCAGAGGCTAAACACTGTTAACCATTTAACTAAAAACACCCTCATGTTTTTTTCTCTCTGCCCATTATGGCAAAACATCTCGAATTTACTACCTCCCCAAAACCAGGTGACACCAAATTTTTGGCCACTTCATGTCACCACTGTTTCTGAGAACTAGAACATGAAATATAAACAGGTTTCAAAATGCCCTGCAACCTGAGTTTGGCATTTAGTTAGCATCATTTTGTTATTGGATTTTGAAAGTAGGGGCCAGAGGGGGAAATGAAAGTGCTGTTTAGAAAATGTCATGGATTCTTATCTTTCCTTGCCTTCCAGACATAAACATCCACCCTTCCCCTCGCATGCTCAGATGTAGTAAAGAACCAGGGTGGCCCTTGCACTTGGATGAGGCTCTAACTGGTACAGCAGCAGTAGATAAAACTGGGGCGACTGTACTTTGCATCAATACTGCATCTAAAACAGCAAGAATGACCAGCCACCAAAAACCCAACATGTTATGATTTCTTTTTATCTTCAGGTTTCTGCCAGACTTGGCTTCAAATGAATATTTGCTCTGTCGTTCTCCAGTTGAAATAATCCATATAGGCTAAATATTTCCATTAATTTCCCCAGGTTAGTGACACTTTAACAAGAAATCCTTTGATGTCACAAGAACAGTTTTCTCCTTCAAATGCAGTTACTGCAGATTTTCAACAAGTTTTAGGAAAGTATATGGTATGTACCTCAAATTGTCCTCTGAACTGTTAATGGTATTACGGCTGACAACTCAGTTAGGAATTATGAATGAAGAGCTGTGAATTCAGATAAATGAGAACTACCTATAGATAATGCTAAGGAATGATATCCACAGTATGTTGATAAGTTAATAAAGTATGCGTGGTATGCTACTATTTGCCATTCTTGTAAGCCACCATTTAAGAAAAAGGGAATAAGTACAAATATGTATATTTGTTTATAGCTTTAAAAACAGGGGGACACAAAGGGACAAATATCATATGTTCTCCCTGATCAGTGACAACTAACTGAGCACCTAAAAGGAAACCTGTTGAAGTGAAATGGACACTATGAGAAATAATGACTTGATCAGCCCTTATCCTGACTGTCGAGGAACAACTTACTACTTTATTCCTTTTAGTATTTTTTTGTTCTACTTAATACCATTAGTTGAACTCTTTAATTTACACACAATTATTCTTAGGTATTTAAATTTAACTGAAAAGTGATCCCTGTTAAATATAAGAGTGGGAATAAGAGAGGGAGGAGATGTACAGTTTGGCACATGCTCACTCAAACTTATCCCTAATGGTAGAGCTAGAAACGTGCCAGGGGATGCCAATTCAATCCCATTAAGATGGCATGTACCAATGCCATCTCACTAGTCAAAGTGACCAGTTTCAGTTCATAATTGATCATAAAGATAGAATTAAGAGTCAAAGGGACCACATAAACAAGACTAGTATCTGCTAATATTAATTGATATAATTTAAAAGGAGAGAACAATCTAACATGGGAAGCAGGATACACAGCAAACTCATAGAGTGGCAGATGTCCTAACCAGTACTTTGGCCTCAGAATCAGCCCTTAAGGCATTTGGACAGCACTCTGGCCTCAGAATCAGCCCTTAAGGCATTCTGATCTGGCTAAAAAGCCCATGAGAGTATTTCAGGCATGGAAAGCCTGTGGCAAAAAAAAAAAAAAAAAAAAAAAAAAAAAAAAAAAACCTAAATGAAAGATCTCTGTGAGTGAAATCCCAATGGAAAGAATGGGCCATCAAAGAAGGAGGTACCTTTCTCTGAAGGGAGGAGAGAACTTCCACTTTGATTATGGCCTTGTCTAAATAAGATCGGAGTTGGAGAACTCAAGAGGCTTCCATAGCTTTGACAGCTCATGACAAGAGCCTCAGGTGATTACTGACGTCATAAATCAGAGTGTCAATTGTTAAATCAACAGGAGTCACTGTGCACTTACTCCCCATGTAGGATCCCTGTCCTTAATGTGTTGTACTATGTGAATTAATGGTATAACTAGTACTCAAACAGTACTTTATACTTTTGTGTTTCTGCGTGCATGCAAACTGTTGAAATCTTTACTTAATATATACTAAACTGATCTTCTGTATATAAAGAGAATTGAGAATGAATCTTGATGTGACTGGGATGGGAGAGGGAGTGGGAGATGGGATGGTTGCGGGTGGGAGGGAGGTTATGGGGGGGGAGCCACTATAATTCAAAAGTTGTACTTTGGAAATTTATATTTATTAAATAAATGTTAAAAAATAAAACCAGGGGGACAGGGAAGGATCAACTAAAAATATGTAAATGGTTACCTCTGTGGGGTTAGGGGGAGAAGGAAAGGTTGAGGTGACGGGAATAGAAACCAGGCCTCCATGGATGAAACTTGTTGGGAAAATTTGACTTTGGAACCATGCAAATGTCTTGCATAACTACACAATATTATTAAATCCAAAATTCAAGAAGTATTCCCTACTGAGTGAAATTCAGCAGTCACAAAAGCACAAATACTGATGGTTCCACGTCTGTGAGGGCCATAATGTGGTCGAATTCAAGGACAGAAAATAGAAGGTGAGAGGCCAGTGGGCAGGGGCTGGAGGATTGTAGTCAATGTTTAAAGGACACAGTTTCCGTTTGGGACGATGGAAAACATTCTTGACATGGGTAGTGCTGACTCTTGCATGACAGTGTAAATACACTAATGCTACTGAACTGTGCACTGAAAATTTTTCAAAGAGTGCATTTCATGATATTGCCATTAGAATTATTTTCAAATTTTAGAGTGATATCTAAAATTCAGAAGCAAAACAGGGGAAAATAAAAAATAAGAAGAACCTAACTGTGTAGTGAATTAAACGTTTGAAAGTGAAAATTTACTTCAGGTGACTCCAGCACACATTCCCAGTGAGGTTATACTCTGAGAAAAAGAAAACTAAAAATAAGTTCTTAATAATTTTTTTGACAGGCAGAGTGGACAGTGAGAGAGAGAGACAGAGAGAAAGGTCTTCCTTTGACGTTGGTTCACCCCACAATGGCCGCTGTGGCCGGCACACTGCGCTGATCCGAAGCCAGGAGCCAGGTGCTTCTCCTGGTTTCCCATGCAGGTGCAGGTTTCCCATGCAGGTGCCTTCCCAGGCCACAGCAGAGAGCTGGACTGGAAGAGGGGCAATGGGGACAGAATCTGGCGCCCCGACCAGGACTAGAACCTGGGGTGCCAGCGCCGCAGGTGGAGGATTAGCCTATTGAGCCACGGCTAATGAGCCTGATAGAGCAGTGGAGGATGGCCCAAATCCTTGGGTCCCTGCACCCATGTGGGAGACCTGGAAGAAGCACCTGACTCCTGGCTTCGGATTGGCTCAGCTCTGCCATTGCAGCCATTTGGCATGTGGATAGAAACCTCTCTCTGTAACTGTCTTTCAAATAAATAAAGTAAATCTTAAAAAAAAATTTAAATCAAAGTAACAAAGTAAAACCTTCAAATCCCAAGCTTTAACTGAAAATAAATACTAGATAATGTCACTAAAAATATATCACGATGTATTTTCTTTTTCAAAAATTCCAAGAAAAAGTTTAAATAATTTCCTAGCCCATCCACTGAAAAAGCCTGGAAACAATGACCAATGGCAGTGAGCCACCTTCATGTCTAGACCAGGGTCTCTAAACACCGATTCCCATTAGAGGGAATTGGGCTTGATTCCAGACGTGGGGCAGGAAACAGAAATCAGCAACATTTTGTCACACCGAGAACAAGGAAGGTGTCAAAGTCCACTATGCTCACGTCATGTTTTAGGAGACAACTTGAAGAGGCCGCCACTGGGTAGTGATGGAATAATCTGCGCATCTAGAAAAATGCAACTGCAGTGGGCTGTTCCCTATCTACTACAAGCTTACTTCAAAACATTCGTGAAAAATGGAATTAAACAGCACATTTATTTGTCACAAAAAAATTTGAAATTCATACATAGTTTTTTTTTATAATACTCATTGTCCATGAACTTTGCAAAGACCTCTCATTTTCAACACCACAAGTTCCTACAATGGGGACAAAATCCCACAGCAGGCAACTCTGAAGCACAGTGTGGATCTGCCTTGGCGCTCTGATAGTGGAAGGACAGGAAGGAGCGCTTACTCCGACTGCACTTTCTGAACTGCACCTCACGAGAACCAGGCAGTGGATGAGGAAAGGCTGCGTGGCTGGTTTTTCTTGATGGAAGCATTCCAGCTCCTCAGTGATGGAGAGGTGATCAATATCACCATTTTGCCCTCCTGAATGAATTAATAGACCTGGACAGTTATCATCAATGATGGATAAAAATTCAGGTGAAAAGCTAACGAGGAACTTCATAATGGATGAAACAGGTTCAAAACAACCAAGTGCACTGGCGATCCCTAATTGCAGAATAAGAGACAGTCACGTGCTTCCTGCCATCACACACCTGAAGTGTTCTTCCCCCAAAACAGCAAACCTGAATCCCATCAGGTCCCCAGGAAGGAGAGAAGCAAACACCCCCATGAAATGATTCCGCAGCGATGGAATCAGCAGACTCTAGAATATGAGAAACTCTACAAGACAGGTGACCCAATTTCTTCACAAATAAATTATAAGGAGGAAAACAATCAAGGCAAATCCATAGAATAAAAGAGACTTAGAGAAATATCCATCAAACGCAGTACGTACACATAGGGTCCTAGTTCAACAAAACAACCGTTAAAAACACTACTGTGTCTTTTTGATAAGTCATTCACAAACTGGATATTTGATGATGGTAAAGAATTTGTTTCTGATGTGATAACACTGTGGTTTAATTTTTAAGAAAAAATAGATAATTTTTTTTGACAGGCAGAGTTAGACAGTGAGAGAGAGAGAGAGAAAGGTCTTCCTTTTTCTGTTGGTTCACCCCTCAAAAAGTGGCCACTACGGCCAGCGCACCATGCTGATCCAAAGCCAGGAGTCAGGTGCTTCTCCTGGTCTCCCATGGGGTGCAGGGCCCAAGCACTTGGGCCATCCTCCACTGCACTCCCTGGCCACAGCAGAGAGCTGGCCTGGAAGAGGGGCAACCGGGACAGAATCCGGTGCCCCAGCCAGGACTAGAACCTGGAGTACCAGCCCACAGGCGGAGGATTAGCCTAGTGAGCCGCGGCGCCGGCCAAAATTAGATAAATTCTTATAGCTGCAGAGGCATTTACAGATTGAAAAAGTAGAAAATCTGGAATTTACTTTATAATATTATAGCAGGGGTGGGGGGCAATGCTGTGGCGCAGCGGGTTAACACCCTGGCCTGAAGCACCTGCATCCCATATGGGTACCGGTTTGGGACCCGGCTGCTCTACTTCCAATCCAGCTCTCTGCTATGGCCTGGGAAAGCAGTAGAAAATGGCCCAAGTCCTTGGGCCTCTGCACCCATGTGGGAGACTGGGAAGCTCCTGGCTCCTGGCTTCGAATCAGCGCAGTTCCGGTCGTTGTGGCCAATTGGGGAGTGAACCATCGGATGGAAGACCTCTTTCTCTCTCTGCCTCTCCTCTCTGTGTAACTCTTTCAAATAAATAAATAAATCTTAAAAAAAATTATAGAAGGGAGGGGGTGAACAAGTTTAGCTGTGTGCAAATAACTGCTGAAACCAGGTGATAGGAAACATTATATTAGTCACTCTACCTTTGTATATGCTTGAAGTTTTCCATGATAAACATATTTTAAGTACATCG